TTATAAAATATTCATAAAAGCATTTACCTCACTAAGGTAACAACCCTACCCGCCTTTTTATCTATGTCTTGATTATAAATGAACGAAGGGGTTCGTATTTTACAGTACTCTTTAAAAATGTTGTGCTCTAACATCGATGAATCAGATTAAAAATTCCAAATTTTGGAACCAGTTACAAAATTCTAGTTTTATGAATATTGCTTAGCTATTTATTATTACTTGCCTATTAATATATAGATTATTATGGGTTTTAATTTATTATTAGGCGTTTTATTTAAGTTGGAAAGAAAGACTAATCAAACTGCTAAGCCACCAAGGCTAAGGGGTGAAGTCTACAACCTCTTGATTTTTTTTATTTATGGAACAGTGTTTTATACTCAGTAGTCATTTATCATGATGGGTATTTCAAAGTAAATCTGAGTTTCAATAATTAATAATTAAAGAATTTAATTTCTAATATAAAATCTTTAAATGTGTTTTTCTAAGGAACTCTAAATTTACTAATATAATAAGATTATGAGACCTCTACTATTAATTTCTACGTATAATATTACTACATTCTGTTAGTTCTATTACATTACTTTTAATAGCATTACGTGCTTGGTAAATGCATTTTTGCTATAAAAACCTTTCATAAATAAATTAATTTGATACAGTTCAATGTGAAATGGTATTACAGTATAATGCAGTAAAATAGCCGTTGTAAGAAACTAAAAGAAATATGAAAAAAGTCAGTAAAATTCGAAGATTTTGGTAATTAACACAAAGTTATATTTTCTACAATCTATTTGAAATGCGCTATTCGTGTTACGAACAACGAGTAAACGTTAGATATTAATAGTAAAGTGTTTATAAAACTACACCATTTTCAATATTTCAAAAAACCTTTAGACTAAATTATTTGAAATCAAACCAATTATATTGGAATATATTTCAGATAAAGTAAAAAAATGTCCTACGAATTTCTATAAAAATACAACGATCATAATTTCTAAAACAAATATAGACTACTCAAATAAGCGTTTAGGTTTCTGAAGGATTATATTTTCAAAAGAAGGGCCACTCTCTTTCACTTTATAATACAGGGTGTTTCAAAAAGGATCATTCGATTTCGTAAGTTTATAATTTAAAAACTAATACCAATCATATGGTCATGAGGTTAATTTTATATTACAGAGTACTAGATAAAGTTTTTTTTTTTATATACCATTTGCAGGTAACTTAGTATGGCGCCCTTTAGATGCCCAGCATATGTGCAACTTGCAATACAAATTTACTCAGGTAGAAAAAGTTGTAAAAACAATTGAAAATGAATGCACATTTTTGAAAGTAGGCCTTTTTTTGGGGGGTGAAGGGGTGCGATTACCTGAAAACGCCCAAGAATTTCTTGTAGAAAATTTAATTCCTGACCATAACAATTCTTTCAAATCTTTGTTAACAAAAATCTGACGATGGACCATGCCATTCCAAAACTCCCTTAAAAAAAATGTAACGCGTGAGAGCATTGAAATTAAATTAAATTAATAATTAATTAACCGTTTCTTTTAATACAATTTATATCAATATTACTAGCCGTAGAAGGATCACTAGAAAAATATGAATAAGTTTTTTTCAAAGGAAAATACTAACCACAAATTTAAAATTAACTAACATTGACTCTCAATATCACTATGATGGGAAATGAAATTTAAACAAGCCATTCACAGTAATTCAATCTCACTCACAAAGTATTAAGGTAAAAATTATAATTAGTGTTCCAGAGTGGTTCTAGTGGTGACTGTCTGCGGTAGAGGGGCTGGCAGTTTGTGTTCTGACAGATCGGTGAGTGCGCTCTTAGGGTGGGGCCATTCTACTTCAAACCTTTTATGTGAAATTATTCGTCTCTTGTAATATATATATGTTCTTCTTTAGATTTTGGGCTAACCTTATTTGGTTATACGTTATATAACTTCGAACTTTATTATAATATATTCAATTTCCTAAAAAAGTACGTACTGTCCCATTTTGGCTAGGAATTCTAAAGGTATTTTATACAACAACTGATGTAAACTGTCCAACCGAGGGATATCATAGAATAATTATTTTAATGATTTTTTATTGCAATTTATAGCCTTTAATATTATGGAATTATTATGACTAAGCCTTGAAAAATATAATTAATTGTAAGCAGTGCATTATAGCTAATTTACGGTTTGATTCTATATAAAGCTATGCAAGATTTTGGGAATATTTTCCTTAATTTTTTTACTATTAAGTTTAAAAAAATGCTTGTTTCTTGCCACAAATCAATCTGTGATCAATGTGCTGAATTTCTAATGGTAATGCCTTGTGGATTTAAGTATTATTGTCTTACATATATGTGTTAAAAAAATGTAGTGTGTATTTTAATAAAGTATTATTAAAATTATGTGCTATGTATATTGAATACGCTAGTACGTATGGGTCTTGACAACTATAGTTTAGGGTATAGGAACAAATCATTGGATCCATCAATATTTTAAATGTATCACTATTTTTACTGTAAGTGCAATAAAGTATACCTTTTTTCAATAAATGTGCACTTAAAGACGATATAATTTTTTTATACATATTATTGCATATTCAAATTAATGTACCTATATAAAACCAGAATATATGAACATGTTTACATGCATACTAGTATTAATTGTTTTTGGAAAATTTATGGGAACGTTAAAAATGAATAAGTGTTGTATATTTTATTTAATCTAGTTACAATCCAAAAAGATAAATTTAACATATTTAAGATTATTTTGACACAGTAGGGCTTATTGCAAAATAATGGAATAAGCCTAACATTGAAGCTTAGTTCTAAAATGGTTTTTAACTTTGGCAAATCTTTTTTTGTTTTTGCCGATGAATAACTTTTCCGACGGTTAATACGAAATAATTATCTTATTGATTCTTAAAGACTTAATAGATCAACATTTATAGTCGAAAAACCCAAAGATTAAAATAATACCTCAACTCGACGGAATACATTTACATACAATATTTAAAATCACATGTCATAGTTGCTTAGGGTCATAATTGGTTTTTATATTCACCACATATTCCATCCAGTTATATTCTTCTATTTAACTTAACGTTCCATATAATAGATATAATATAAAAAATTGTTGCTATGTTATGGTAGCTTTCATTGTGTTCTGAAATAATCTAAAAATTATATAATGGCCTTAATTCATTGCTCACTTTTCAACAGAAGTTAAATTATATTTAAGTATTTTTTATTTAAAGATCCGTTGCACTTAGTTGAAAGTACTAATTGAGCTAATATTTTTTTATGTAAGCTAATTTCGTAACAAAAAGGGTGAATGTTTAAAATGCATCTTTTAAAGTAAGAGATGCCTGTAAGTAGACTGCAAGAAGCACGCTCATTCCCCGCGATCTTGCGGCCGAATTTTGCTGCGAATAACCATCACCTACTTCGACAAAAGCTAGAGCTTTAAATAAGCTTACGTTAAGCTTATAAATCTATGTGTTAATCAAAGTGTATTAGATGCATTTGTAGATAAGATGGCATTTACCAAACCTTTGCATCATACATTTTTCATAAATCCAATACACAATAAAAAATACTTTCGTCAAAACCTACTACTTTCAAAATTCTTTTAAGGGAGAAAAGTTTAATTGTAATATATTATGCCAATAGGTATTTTAATGTTCTATACCTTCAACATCTAGGAATACCTTATTTGGTATTTATGTTATTACTGATTTATATCAGTATCTCGGATTTAGTGTGTTCTAATCCAGAACCTCTCGGGCATAAGTTAAACCCTCGAACAATTAAACTATCCACGGCTTAATAGATGTGCTCTATAATACATCTACAGGGCTATAATTTGACCAGTAAATTTACGCAATGCAATGATGTTTGTTTGGTGCTGATATATTATTACTCATGTCATATTACTGAAGTAAACTTAAATTGTTTACTAATAAATAATGTTCACTGTTCAGTAGTTTGTGTTGAAGACAATACATTATCAAATAATCCTTTTTGATGAAAAATTTAGCTGCTCGATCAAGGTTTTTCTTTTGATTAAGTGTAAATATGATATTTATGGATTCTAGAGCAATGGCAGAGTTTGCTAAAATTATTCAAAGTATGCACGATTCAATATCATGGTTAACTATTCGAAATTCTCACAAAGGCTTTGGTAGGTGTTACCCAAAAAGGTAGTTTTGTACGCTTTTGATGGAGTTTTTATCATTTTGGAACTTGATGTAATTTTTATGGAACATTTTAAGGTAAAACCTATGTTTTTGTTATATTTCTCATTAACTTTCTAAGTAATCATCGTAACAACCAGCTACGAGTTTTGCATAAAATACGATTGCGTAAAGAATGTATATAGATAATTCATTTTGATAACGAATTAGGAAAATATTGATTATTTTAAAAACTATGTTTTACCTACACCACATTATGTTTAATTATTTACTTGCATTCGTTACGATTTAAAGTTGTTTTAATTTTATACTGCATGACAGTTTGTTTTGACGCTTCCTTTGTTGCACATTGTTGTTAATCTGCTTTTATGTTTTCGTTTACTTTATTACATGATTATAACTGATTCGGGTGTTCGGTCATTTGACTCAAATTAATAATCATTGATATTGTTATTTGAAATATTTGCAGTTCGAGAGTTTTGTGTTTATCCAAATTTCAAATACATTGTGTTGTTAATTGAGAAACATAACATTTGATGTACTAGATTCAGGTGCTATTGGGTAGGGCTATATAGAAATAAATTTAATTGCAAAGTCCTTAAACCGTCATTATTACCATTTCAATGTTTTTTCTTCTAAAGGTTTGTTTAGGAATATACCCTTAGCCTATTCCGGTCCATTAAGCACTGAACAGAATTTAATAACATGAAAACACACAGGCTTAGCAGCTCTATTTATTTTTTATTTAGAATCTATTTAGAATATAAACAATAATTTGGTCAATTCCGAACATTCTAACTCACCTAAACATATCTGGAGGCAAACAATAAAGCAGACAATGCCCCAAGGAAACCTGGACGACCTGTGAAGATGCCCTCCCATCGTCTCACAGCGGCATTCCCAACAAACAAATCGTCAACACTGCACCCGGGGCGGTAACTGTATCCAGCACAGGTTCACAGAGGTATCTCCAGCATCGGTACACACTGTCACATCTTAGAACAAACAGAAAACACACAGAATCCACTGGGTGGGCGAATTGCAAGGGTTATGTCACACACGATGCTGAGACAGCTACGAGCCTCCCTTACTGCAACTGCGGCGCGGGCGGGCGTCAGGACGGGCGGGGGGCGGTGGGGGCAGTGTGGGGCAGCGGGGGCGGCGTCTGCGCTCACCACCTCCAGTCGAGCCAGCTGGACGGCGATATCGACGTATCAACGAATGTCCCACGCTGCCCACTTAATTATCACCAATCATATGGATTTGAAATACTTTTGTGGTTTTTTTATTGCCATCCGGATGTAATACATGTCATAATATACATGTTTTTTTCGTAAAGAATAATTAAGTTAATAATTCATTGTTGTGATAATTTTTAAATTTAAACGTAGTATACTTGGAACCCTTTGTAAATTGTTTACTCTAGTGTATGATAAAAGGGTAATGAGAATTATTTTATACACACAACATGTAATTTCCTGATCTATTAGATCTTATTTACATACTTTCTATTGTCAATAGAATTTTAACATATTTTCTTTTTACAAAAACTAAATTTAAATATCTTTGTTGTCATAGTTAGTTTATATTAGTTCGTTATCTATTTCTGTTGTTCTAATGATTGTAAAATAATATATCAAACAGATCCCATCCTAATTTGGAATAGTACCACATAAACATGGAAACATTAATTGAAACCCAACAAAAGCTGAAATATTACGAAATAAAAATGACACAGAGATTTTAATGGGGACTAAAAAGAGAACAAATAGGCCATTCGAATGTTTTAGGCCCCTGCTGACCTGAAAACAAAGCCAAATTTGGGATATTTAAAATTTCTTAACAGTTCTTTGTTTACCAAGGTTAAAATGTCTCCGTTAATTTTAAAAAGATAAAATGGAATAAATTAGTATAAACCGTCACTAGTAGAGGCGAACTCTTTAAAAGTATCTATATACGATGATTTTAGTTCCAGAAACTGTTTAGTCATATATTTCGAAGTATACATAATGTCTTACGTGTTATATAGTATCGGTTTCGTGCATATGTTTAATCGCATACCTCAAAATACAGTGGGAACTATAACCGGAGAATATAGTTATTGGAAGGGTACAATTAAACTATTACGAGTACCTTACTTCGGAGGACCCAGAACCTGTCGTTTATACCTGGTCAAATGACACTCGACCCCATTGTATTGCCAATACTATTGGACTGTTCCATACAATGAATTTGAATGTTACTGTTTAAGTCTGTTAGTGAAATTATCTATTAATATTATTCGTAACCTTTGTGTAAAAACTCATGTTCTTTGTTTATTACATCATCCGGTAGAATGGGAATTTTAATACTGAAGCCACATAGTATTGCTTTATAACGATATTCAAGTCAATAATTGACTTAAATCATCTAGTCATCTAGTCACCAAGTCAATAAGTAGATTTTTAAATATTTTAAAATTGGCTCAGGCTTAAGATGCAATATAACAATGTGTACCTACGATGTATTTTATCTTTCAATCTTTAATCTTTTATCTTTAAAAACGGACTTATTTTTATCAGAAGCCTCTTATGAAACACCGAAACAAACTTTTAAGACGTTTAATTGTATTGTAAAATATTAAATAAAAATGTTACGAAAAAGGGTAGTAACAAGTTATGTCTTCCGTTCTCTATCAACTAATCAAGGTAGTTATTAAGTTTTTGTAAAATATTTAGTTTACAATATATGGTTGTGTGTATAATAACAACATATTAACAACATATTAAGCATAATATTTTAGGTTAGGTACACAGTTTTCAATTGATTAAGCATAGTACAGAATTGATCTAATACTAATATTACATTACATTATATAGGATAAAAGAAAACTCTATAAATATTTGCTAATTGAACCCAAAAGTGTTTAAGCGTCCTAATTACCCAAATACATCAGGAACAAATCTAGTGCTTTGTTGAATTAATGACCAGATATACCAATAGAACAAAGGATTTAAATAGACGTTTGGCAAGCGGCTTCATTCAGAACTCTTTGCTTCTGCAACAATACGACGCGCCTCGTTTGCCGCGAGTTTGGCATCAGAGTAAAAGTCAGACTAAAATAACGACCCATTCACAAGATTCTACATAATTGAGCAACCTTTCACATATTTGTGTTGGATTATTTCTGTCGCTTTTCACGCTCTTGTTGAAGAATTACACGCGAAATGGGGTTCATTTAGTTTTAAACAACAATTTTTCTTTTTTCCCTTTTTATGCTAAGTCCTCATGACTGATACATGCTTAAGAAGGGAAAAAATGGTGTTGCAGTAGAACCTCGTTAACAAGACCCTCGTTAACAAGACCCTCGTTAACAAGTCACACTTGATAACAAGATTCATTTACAAATCCCCTTGAAATTATTTTACCCGTGATCACATGTTATTACAAACCTCAATAAGAAGCCAACCTTGATTGCAAGTATTATGTTAAAATCCTTATGTCTTTTTATCAAGGTTCTACTGTAGTAGTATTTTAAATAAATTAAAAGATAATCTTGAAGAAGACTATCAGTTTAAACATACAGTTGAAATGTTGTATCATCAGGGTTTTGTACCACTTAAAGAGACACACAATTTTAAAGCGTTATAAACAACAAATTAGTAATAAATTAAAATTGCTTGGGGGGTTTTAGGGAACGTAAATGTGTCACTGGTGATGAAATATTTCTTATATCTTTTTTGTGTATTTTTAATTTTATTTTGAGTAATTTCCTATACCAGTAAATAATGATTATAATCTATTATACTTTTTGGTTTAAGAAAAACATTCTACTCGAAATTACTAGAATTTATATAACTAATGTATTCTATTTTATTGTTATAAGATTTTCGAATTAATATATATGGATTTTTCTCTTAACATAACCAAGTGGTGGTTACTAAGTATTTAAAAAATCAATCTTAATTTTAATCCATCCGATTTCAAGTTTTTTTTATAATAAACTATCAAAATCAAAGCCATAACATAAATTTTAAGCTACCTATTTCACCTACCAATACCAATGAAAACTATTGTGACGTTTACCAATATTTTTTAATTTATACTAATAAGACTAATTATATTGTAACAATCTTTAAATATTAGGTCACTAATCATAGAGTAACTTGAAACCCCATTAAAGTATATATTCAATATTCGAAAGTCTGAAAACCTAGAAAAAGATAACCGCTGGTTGGTTATTTTATTTTTCATTTAACATTTACTTCAATGTATCAATATTTAAATACTTTTTACTGGTTTAAATATCAGAAACCATAAAAATTATTAAAATTTAAAGGTATGTACATGAGTTGGAAATGGTCAATGTCAATATAAGCACGCAAAATCATTTTAACTCATTGAGGGTTATAAAGTATCAATAATTAATAAATATTTATGACACTGACTAAATCTAATGAAAAATACAATTGAGACATAGGCCTACATGTGTTGATCTACATAATTATTCAAAAGTTTTAGTTCATTGAAGAGTTTATATTGGAATTGGTATCTGTCAATTGTATCACAAGATTGGTTATAAAGTAAATCTAAAACTACGTCACCCACTTCACAAACTAAAAAAAACCTAAATTATTTGTAAGTAGTTTTTTGGTGTGGAGAGATAAGTTTTTTTTTACTCCTAAACCAACACCTAGTGTCGTTGCCGTTCGATAGGCTGCAGTTACTCACTGGTTCGGAAGGAACAATTCAATCAATCCGCCATTGTTCAGTCAGCTGGGAACAAGTTTCTCTTGTTGTTGACGTGGACTCTGAATTTACCACTTTTTGATTACAATCCCTATTTTCTTTGATTTAATATTCGTCATAATAGTATGTTACAGGGGGCTACGTCTGTTTGCATGTTGTCAAAAATATAAACATTCCAATCCCAACAAATTATTGTTGAATATCCTTTAATCATGCGAAGTTAGTGGCTTCTTTAAGTTTTGCATTTACCCAACAATATAGGACTTGGGCCTGTGAGCTAAGCGTCATAACAGAGAAGTAATGTTTAGAGGAAACTTGTTTACGGAATGCGCTTTTAGCTCTGGTACGTTGTGCGTGTGCGGAATTACGCGTTAAGACAAATATACTTGTAGCGAGCAAGAAAGGGGTTCAAGCAGCGATCACTGTGTGGAATTCCTATGGCGCAGGACACAGGGTATTGCTTGAGCTTGAGATTCTTAGTACGTAATGACGAGGGTAAAAGGTGTGTAAGAGAGAGAAACGATTGCCTACTATTGGATTTTGCCCTAGACACTGGAGACTAACGCTAGACACCATTAGATATTTCTTCTGTACCTTACAAAGTTGAGGCGAACCGATCCAGTGAAAGAATACCCTTAACCCGTCTATTTAGCCGAATCGATGACATAGGCTACAATGCATTAGCTTGGTTATTTAAAAATTAATTATTGACAACACGTTAAATAAGCAGTACTATAATAGTTGTCTTGGTTTCATATGTAGTCACGCTACTAAGCCAAACGACTTGCTACCATATAAAATATATTTTTACAAACCAATATTTTTCTAAACCCCTTTAATCTAAAACTAATTTATTATATTTTGAGTCAAAATATCTCCTGACGCCTACTTTGAAATAATTGTTTACGTGATATTCGATCTAAAGAGATTTTACACTGTTTTCTCTATTTCTAAGCAAAATCTAGCTTTTAAATGTAAAAAGCTGAGGTGACCAATAATAGGTGTTGGCACATTCATCCACTTCTGTTTATTGTCTCGTCTGTAACAATGGATTGTAATTAGTCCACACTTGGCACCAGGATAAAAGAAATAGGCGGAAATAGATTTGGTCCCTGGTCGCTGTTCTCTGTTGTCATCCGCGTGAATCAAAGAATGCAATTAATTTTGTGACGAAAAAGTTTATCCTCAATGAAGAATGTGTGTGTGCCATACATTTTTCTGAACAGACAGAAATGTTTGGCTCAACAATGCGCGGCAATTATTGGTTAAAGAGTTGACGTAAAAATTATAACATTGAGCTGTAATATATTACGAAACAATTAATTAAGCAATTACTGTAAACAATTAATTAA